AAACGTTTACACAAAGCCACCTTTCAACTACAGATTTGTAACTAAAAGAAATTAATAGATTCTCTCAGTTTAAACACTATATGATGTCATTTGATAGATACAGCACTTAGTTCTGATTGCTTTTTAATTAGTTTGAGCGTTGACCTGGACCTGATCCCTAACTCAGATAGTCATTTTACTTTTTTGAACCTTAGTTTCCCCATCTGCAAAGTGGGAATGAGTCAACAGATTTTTAAAACATGAGACTACACATCCAAAGCAATTTCAGAATGACAAGAATACATTTTGTAATCATTAAGAACCTTTCCGGGCGCCTGGGTGGCGCAGTCGGTTAAGCGTCCGACTTCAGCCAGGTCATGATCTCGCGGTCCGTGAGTTCGAGCCCCGCATTGGGCTCTGGGCTGATGGCTCAGAGCCTGGAGCCTGTTTCCGATTCTGTGTCTCCCTCTCTCTCTGACCCTCCCCCATTCATGCTCTCTCTCTGTCCCAAAAATAAATAAACGTTGAAAAAAAAATTAAAAAAAAAAAAGAACCTTTCAAAACAAGAAGTTACATGAATTAAATGTTTATTCAGCAAACATCCTTGGAGACACAGGGTAACTGCTACCATTTATTGAGCTCCTACTGAGCACTGCACATACATTATGTGTATCCCTACAAAGTAGGTATTGCATTCTTTTTATGGATGAAAAATCTACAATTAAAAATAAAATAATTGGGGCACCTGGGTGGCTCAGTCGGTTAAGGGTCAGACTTCAGTTTAGGTCATGATTTCATGGTTGATGGGGTCAAGCCCTGCTTAGGGGTCTGTGCTGACAGCTCGGAGCCCGGAGCCTGCTTTGGATTCTGTCAGTCTGTCTGTCTGTCTCTCTCTCTGCCCCTCCCCGGCTTGTGCTTTGTCCCTCTCTCAAAAATAAGTATTAAAATTTTTTTTAATTATTAAAAAATAAAATAAAATAATTAATTAATTAAAGATGAAGAATCTGACCTTAGGTGAGATTTGACAACTTTCTCAAGGTCCCACAGTAAGTGTCAGAGCTGAGATTTAGATCCAGGCCTTCTTGGCTCTTAAAGCTGGCTACTGTCTCCTACACCACACAGCCCCTAACGTGTATAAGAATTGTGTGCTTTTATGCACTTAACAACTATGTATGAAAAACAACAACTCTGTATTGGTCACCAGGCCCAACCCCTGTTCCTGTGGAGCTTCCATTCTAGTGATCAGCACTCACATTTATCACATAGTCTCTTACATGGATGCAAAATTGCCACAGGATTCACTGCTATGGAGGGAAAGTCTATGCTGGGATAGCACAATGGAGGAGGGAATCTGAGTTGGGGAGGGCAGTGGAGGACTGTGTAATTGTGGGGAGGATTAAATAGGATGAGGTAAAGACAGCCCAGATCTGCAGGGCCTTGCAGACCATACGTAAGGTGCTAGGTGTAGAAATGTGAACCCACCATCTCCAGGCAGGGATAGGCATTGCAAACAGAGGGAATGGCGTGTCCGAGAGCGTGGTGGAGGACATGGCAGGAGCACAAGTATGCACATATTTTGGCCCTGTTAGAGCCCTGTGTACATCTGTGTGCATCACATCTGGGAGAGTGATGGCAAAGGAGATAAGCAGGGACCTTAGATATTGTGCACCGAATCTGGACTCCTGCCGATGGAGATGCTCTGAAGTGTGGGGAAGGGAGACAGTCACGCTTAAGCTTTAGATAGTGCATTTGGGGAGCCCTGGGCAACATGACTTGGCTGAGTCAGGGATACCAGTTAGGAATAGATTGCAAAGTCCAGGCAAGAGATGGTGAGGGCATCATTTGGACCAAAGCGGTGTCGTTGGAGAGAAGTAAGGGAGGAGGCCCACCAAGGTTTCTGACCTAGATGCCCTGATGTCATTAAGGAGGCTAGGAAATGCAGGGACCGGGTGGATAATGAGCATAGTCGAGCCAGTCCAAGCTGATGGTCCAAGGGAAGGTGTCCAGAACGCAGGTGGATATTCTAAGTCAGGGCCCAGGAGGGAGCTCTGGGCTAGATTTAGATCTGGTGGCTGTAGCCTATGATTGTGGCTGTAAGAGTAGTTGAGATCACCTAGGGGAGGCAGATTGGATGGGAAGACCGAAATTTCGGAGATGCCAACGTTGAGGACCATGGGCTGAGGAGGAGGGAGACTGAGAAGGAGTGGTGGGGCCAGAAGAGAGATTCCAGCCAACATGTGAATGTCACAGATTTGTTTCTTCTGAGCCTGAGAGCCTCAAGTCAGAATTTTTGTTTACCTTGTTTCAGTTGTGACAATGAAATGAGGTAGAGCATGGCACTAACTTGACCTGATGCTAGGCTACAAGCTTGAAAAATAATAGCGATTGTTCTTAATTCAACAAATTATTGAGCACCTACTATATGTAAAGCAGCCGACGTCTGTAGAGACCTATGCTCCAGCTTCAGGAAACTTCGAGTCTAGGGGGCAACAGTCTGCCACCTGCTGCTGAGAGGGACTGCTGTTCAGCCCTGAGGAACATTCTGGTTGGTCTTGGGCTCCTCCTGTAGGCCGGGAGCCTAAGTGTCCCCAGTGCACAGTGCCAGTGCCACTTCTCCAAATCTTGAGGCACTGCTGTGCCTCAATTGTCTCTCCACCTACAAATCTGATATCTGGAATGATTGTTGAGTGCCCCCGCTGCCATGACACCGTGCACCCCGTTTCGCGGGATGGTCTGCTAGAGCAGAAATCTCAGCCTGATGGGAGAATAGAGCACATAGCCAGTGGAAAGGAAAGAAACCTGGTCTGGGGCTCAGAATGTCTGGGCTGCAGCCCACATCTGCTGAGTGACCTTGGGTAGGTCACCTTTCCTTCCTTAGCTTCAGCTCCCTCATCTGTATAAAGGGATCATAAAAACATTTCTTGATTTTACCTTTGGGCCAGATATGGGGAGCTGTGGGAATAGTATGTTCGGATCATGGAAACTGCCCTCGCTCGAAAGGCTTGTGTGTTACAGATAAGTGAAAGACCGCCAGTTGGCAATATCCAACACACCGCAGGCCTGCTCAGAGCACAGGGATCTTCTCTCAGCTAAGGAAACCTTAGCTCATCGGCCCTGGTAAGGTTAGGCATCTTTTCCTTGTTTCCTCAATCCTGTTTAGGAGGGAAGGGCTGAGGAAGAGAACACAATTTTAGATACTTTGAATCGTCAACGGTTTTATTCTCTAAGCAAAAATACTCCCGATGGGGAAAACAGGTTTGAGCTATCAGAGTCTACTTGGCCACCCCTCCCCCAACCCACAAAGTATTCGTCTCTGCTGTGCAAGAATCTTCCTTTTCTTCCTTTCTCCCAGAGTCTGGCCACCAAGACCTGGAATCCACCTTCAGGTGAGACGTCGAATTTCCTCTTCCAGAACTTTGTTCTCCATTGAGCTCTCAGGGAACCAGCCCTTAGAAATGGGCCTCAGAAAAAATCAGGCCTAGGACTCCCAGAGCCCCCATTCCCTGCCCACTTGGAGGTCCCCTTTTGGGGTACTTCACCCCACCCCCTGCCAATTTCCAAGGCTGCTCCGGGCTCTGGGGACAGAGGAGGAGGGCGATGTGGCAGAGTATAGCTGTTAGCCCTTTATCTCTCTAGCACCCTTCCCCAAGGTCTCTGGATGGCAAAATGGGCCATAAAGGATTAAACAGATATAACAGATGATCTATTAATTAAGGACTTTAATTCGCCCAGGCCTAGGCCAAGCAAGAGTAAGGTGCCGGAGGCTGCTCAGAGCAGACTGGGGAAAATGAAGCTGAAAAATCAGTGCTGAGTTTGGTTAGTGCGGTTCTTGGGGGAGACTCTGCCTTCTCGGTCCAGGAAATAAGTGTCTCTGGGAATGAATGAGTCAGATATTTTGTCTCCTGGAACCTTCTAGAACCTAATGCCAAAAGGAGAGGAATGGGAGTGCCTGAATCATAGACTTGTGGATGTGGAGGAGTCAGTCATCAGGGGTGATGGGGGTGGGGGATGCTCACGTGGGGAAGGATGACCAAGATAGGTTTGCTTCCCAGGTGGGGTTTCCTCTTGTTCCCATAGGGCACACGTTTCTGTTACTGGCTGCACCCCATCTCCTAACTTCCTGTATCTTTTCCCTCTCATTCTTCCTTTCTTTTCACTCTCCCTTGCCCCCTTCACTTCTCCCAGAATTTCTCTCATTTTCCTCCAGGCTGGGCCACCTCACCCCCTCCCCCTTCTCTTTCCTGTAACTTAAGCTGTAGTTGGGAGTTGGAGGAGCTGGGCTGGTTTGAAAGGAGGCCCCACTGCTTTTCAGGGAGGAATTGAAACCGTGGAGCTGGGGGTGAGGGGGTGAGGGGAGGCAGAGGGGGAGGGGGCGGCTTGAGAAATCAAAGCGGCTGCAGCTCCATCTGGGAAACCAACTTTGATTTACTAGCAAGGACCTGGCTCTCTAACACCCCCCCCCCTTTCCCTGGACTTTGCTTTGTGGTGATAACTGGGGGCTGGGAAGTCTGACTCCCTCCCCCAGCCTGAAAGCCTGTTCTTCTCCTGGGAGAACCAGCCCAAGGGGGAAGGCCCAGGGGACCCTGGCTAAATAGGGCTGCTGAAGCTTCTAAAGGGGGCCCTGTGTGTCAGGAGCTGGGTGTGGAAGGGTACCCCTGGGGAGGAAGGAGGAAGTGTCCTCAGTGCAGGCTGTGAGCCCCACAGACTTGGCCCCGCTCTGGCTCGAAGTGACACTCTCCCCAGGGATGGGGCGCTGGGCTGGGGGCGCTGCCAGGAGAAGGCCAGGTCTTCTTCATGTCTGTGGCCTTGCCCTCTGAACTGGCTGGGGGTGGGGGTGGGGGGGGAGGCTGGGGCCTGGGAGTGGCGAGTAAGAACCAAGAAAAGAAAATGAGAAAGAAAAGGAAAATCTATGTTAATCGATTGTTTTGTGTTGAGATTCAGTGTGGGTTATGGACAACGCTGGCTTCGAGTGGGGACTCCAGGCCACTCTGGATGGCAGGGCCAGCCAGCTCTCTCCTCCCTCTCCTGTCCCCTGTTTCTGTTTCAGCTTGCTCCTTTTCTGTCAAATCCTTGAACCCCCCAGGGTTTAAGGCACTGTCTGACCTCTGCTATCAAAATAGGGTCCCAAAGGTCCTGAACACCAGTGCCGGGGGCTGCAGGGAGAACACAGTGAGCCACAGCTCCAAGAGATGCTTGTGCTTGTCACTGACTGACCACCTAGTTCTTCCTGGGTGGTTTTTTTCGGGGGTGGGGGATGCGTTAAATCCCTAGACTCCTGGGTTCCAGCAGAGCCCCCTGCCCCTGCACTCCCACTATCACTGGTATTTTTCAGGGTTCAAGCATCCGGTCTTTAGAACTAGCTCTCAGGAAGGAGAAGAAGGCGCTAACTGGGCTAACTGTGCCCCAGACAAATGGAACCTTTTCAGAGCTCACTGTACTATGTGGAATTGCCCATCAGAGCTCCTGTCCCAGGACAATGTTCCTAAAAGCCTAGGGTCCACATCCATCAGAATCACAGAAGAAGGGGCACTGGGGCAGGATTTTCCTATTAGAAATACAGATTCCTGGGTCCTGCCGATGATCAGAATTGATAATCCCCAAGTGATTCTTATGCACACGCCAGAGCTTTCTGCTTTCCAGAGCCCTCGATTAGCTTTCAGAGCCTTGCTTCATCTTGGCAGCTGCCCAGTCTTGCCCCGTCCCCCACTCCAAACCCATTCAACAACCTTTCAAACTCTAACCCCAACGTAGCTTTCCAGCATTAACTTCTACCCCCACTGCCCCAGTGTGTGGACAAGATGGACCGGCCCCCAGCATCCATTCCCGCCTCCTTCTAGTACCTTCCAGCACTTGCAGAGGTTGGAAAGCCAAGAAACTCATCTCTTAGCTTTCCTCGCAGCTAAAGGTCTGGATGCAAAGTGCATTGTTCCGGACTTGAAAGTTGGGAGGGTGATGAGACTGCATTCTTGTTGCTCTGCTATTTCTGCTGGCAGGCCAGCCCCTGGAGATGGGGTCTTCCTGCGGCAGCACCCACAGTGTTCAGTGTCTGGGACGGTGGTGGAAGCCTGGCACCGATTCCTGTGGAGCTTTGGGGTTGCATCCATGATATTAGTTCCAGCCGTAGCCTCTTCATTCTCCCTTCCCCCCGACTGCGGCAGAGGTAGGGGCTCCTACTGGACCATCCTTTCTGGGGCTTCATTATAAAGTCCTGCTTTTCCAGTCCATCTAACAATTTGGCAGGCACCTATTTCCCCGTGGTCTTCGTCTGCTTGGACGCCAAAACCAAATGCCATAGACCAAATGGCTTAAACAACAGAAATTTATTGTCTTTGTTCTGAAGGTCCCAGATCAGGTTGCCACATGGTTGCGTTCTAATGAGGTCTCTCCTCTGGCTTGCAGGTGGCTGTTTTCTCCCTGTGTTCACAAGGCCTTTCTCTGTCAAGAGAGAAAATTTAAACTTAATTACCTCCTGAAAGCTCTGTCTCTAAATATATTCACACTGAGGGTTAGGGCATCAACATACGAATGAGGGGACACAGGTCGGTTCATAGCACCTTCTACATAAAGCACCTAGGGGCGCCAGGGTTGCTCAGTAGGTTGAGCATCTTTTCTTTTTATTTTTTTTTTAATGTTTATTTACTTTTGACAGAGAGAGAGAGAGAGAGACAAGAGCATGAGCAGGGGAGGGGCAGAGAGAGAGGGAGACACAGAATCCAAAGCAGGCTCCAGGCTCTGAGCTGTCAGCACAGAGCCTGACGCGGGGCTCGAACTCACAGATCTCGAGATCATGACCTGAACCGAAGTCGGATGTTCAACCGACTGAGCCACCCAGGCGCCCCTAGGTTGAGCATCTTGATGAGGTTTTGGGGTGATGACAGGGGGTGGGGGGCGTCCGGAGCCGAAGGCCAAGAAACAATTCTTGAAGACGTCTTTGGTGCAAAAAGGTGATTTTATTAAAGCTCGGGGACAGGACCCATGGGCAGAAAGAGCTGTGCTGGTGTTGTGAGGGGTAACTTGTTGTATACCCTCAGGTTGTTAGGTTGGGTCCCTCAAGGTTAGAGACACCGTAAGTCTCTAAGGAATTTTGGAAGCAAGGTTTCTAGGACCTTGAGGGTCTAGCTGTTGTAAAGAAGATGCCATTTATTACCGTTCAGTAAAACCTCAGTCATGAGACCCTTCAGACGTGTATCAGAGCGCCAAAAGCTTGGAGTATGATTGCCAGCATATATCTTGGGGGAGTTGAGATAAAGGAAGTCTCCAGAGGAATTTTTATATGTTGATGTAGACCTATAGGATCCTGGGGGAGGGGGTTCAGGATAATGTTAAGCCAAAATTCCCTTTTGCCCTTGCCCGTAGCGAAGTGTCATCACTGAGGCAGCTGAACTCCTAGAGGGAGGTCTCTCTGCCTGTTTCAAGGACTCATCAGGGGCTGTAGGCAGTAAGGGAATTTAACTTTTCCATTACCTTTGTTTCCCACATCACCATGGCAAGCACTCCAACCCCCTTCCATCTTGATGAGGGTGATATTGGGGCTCTAGAAAACAGAGTCTATAGGTTTCTGGAGATTAGGCTATGGATAAGGTTGCCTTTTTCTTACTGTTTACTAAGTGATCTGTAAACTGAAGGAGACGCCTGTCCTGCACGACCGTGATCTCTATCAGTCAACCATTTGCTATCTTTCCTTGCTCCTGTTCTTGGGCAGCCAGGGGTGTCCCACATATGACACACATCCCACGGGGCAGGGGTGGGGGTGGAGGTGCTGTTAGCCTGTGCTTTGCCCTCAGCTTGCTCCAGGCTCCCTCATCAGTATGACTCTTGATTTCGCTCAGGTCATGATCTCATGGTTCATGAGTTCCAGCCCCACCTTGGGCTTTGCACTGACTGGGCAGAGCCTGCTTCGGATTCTCGGTCCCTCTCTTTCCCTGCCCTTCCCCCACTCATTCTCCCTCTCCCTCTCTCTCAAAAATAAATAAACATTAAAAAAAAAAAAAAACCCTCCTAAAATGGTCTTTGTTTCTTGCACCAAATCCTGCCTTCACCTATGAACTAGACAGCACAGCTGGTACTTTCATACTCTAAGTACTTGCTCCACTGGTTCCACCCTTGTAAATCCTTTAAGATCCCTTCCTGTAGCACTTCTCTGGGTGACTGTTTATCTTGTGGCATTTAGCACTTGGTATGTCTGACTACCCCCAACTCACAATAAGACAGTCTCTTGAGGGCAGAGACTGTATCTTAGTTTTTGTGCATACCCTAGTGCTTATAAGAGGTGGCATATAATAGGTGCTCAGTAAACATCTGTTAAGTGAATCGATGCCCTCTATAAATAGGACAGGGACTGAAGAACTCCCTAAGGTGGGCAGTTGAGAGATCCAAGCATCCTGCCTGGACACCAGTCCAATGCCCATAACCCTGACTGCTTTGCCCATCTCTGGAACCCACATTTAGGGAGGCAAGAAGCTAAGCTCTGAGGAGAAGTAAGCAAGCCAGGCTTCTAGGTCCAGGTTTCCATCCTCCAGTTTTGGCAAGATTATCCAATTTCTTGAAGCCATACTGAATTGTAAATATGTTCTGGTCCCCGATCCGAGAAGTGAAGGTAAAAAACAAATTTGATATGATGGTGGGAACCCATGAAGCGGCCCCGGGGAGACCAAAGCGCTCAGGTCCTGGCCTTGGTACTTACTACCTCTCTGGCCTTCAGTGAATCATTTTGCTTCTCTGTCAGTTTCTCTATCTGCAGAACGGGTACGATAAATCTGCATTGTTCCCTTGAGGCGAGGAGTGAACAAGAAAATGGATCTGTATTGACAGCTGCTTTGGGAAAGGAAGTTTAGGGTGGTACGTGCTATTTTGTAACCTGGAAGCAAATGTCAAACATAGATCACCCAGAGAGGCCTGAACACAGGCACATGAGACAGACTTACTCGCGGGGCAGCATGCTTGGGGCCGAGCACTGGACTCCACAGGCGGAGAGAGGAGGTTTGAATCTCAGCTCTCTACTTCATTACTACCTTCCCTGGACAGGCCACTTGAGCTTTCTGGAGCTCAGACTCTTCATCGGAAAGAGAGGGGTGTGAATCTGCTCTCTCATGGACACTCAATACAAGTCTTTAGTATTTGTTTTCCTCCTCTCCCTAGATGAGGTAGAGGTGGCCAGGAGGAAAAAAATTGGGGCAGGTGTCAGACTCCTAAGACCTCAGGGGTTTGGGAGGCTTCCTCCATGGCTGGGTCACCTCTGAGTAACCCGTGAGGAATTCTGTGGCCTAAGATCTGGCAGTAGGGACACATACTGGAGGGACACATACACTAATGCTGGATTCGGCAAAAAACCTACAGCAGATTTCAGTTTGGGGGACAAAGTAACAAGTCTTCTTTGAGGCTGGTTCTGACTCAGTCACTCTCCAGGCATCCCTCTTTTGATACTCTCCCCAGCTCTTCCGGAGGGTGAGCACCCCAAAAGGCAAGAAACTCATTAGGAAGCAAAGAAAGAGATCAGACCTCAGCTGAGCTCTCCTCTGAATGTCTCCTTTTGTTGGGAGGGGCACTGATGTGGAGGCAGCTTGAGGGAGGGGGGACCCCAAGGATGGAATTGGGAGGG